TAGATAGATATATAGATAGATAGATAGATAGATAGATAGATAGATAGATAGATTGAAAATCAAATACTCTTGTAGAACTCTTCAAAGAACTCAAACAAAAGGCTAATTCACTTCACCTGTCAAATTAAAATTCCTGAATTAAAAATTCTTTTGAAACTGCTGAGCAGCCAATTTCTACGGAATAAAGTCCAGCGGCGTTATATCAGGTGATCTGGGAGGCCAAGGAATTGGACCCCCTCGCCCAATCCATCTTCCTGGAAAATGGTGATTTAAGGAACTGCGAACGATGATACCCCAATGAGGTGGTGCACCATCTTGTTGCAAAAAGACATGCGGCTGAAGCTCTTCTAGTTGTGGAAATACGAAGTTTTCCAACATGTCTAAGTATACGACTAATGAGTCCGTCTTTTCTGTAGGCAAGGTGGTCCAATTCCTTGGCCACCCAAATCACCTGATATAACGCTGCTGGACTCTTTTCTTTGGGGATTTATAAAAGGCAATGTTTACAGAAGGATCGTGTCGAACATTGATGACCTAAAGGCCAGAATTACAACACCGCTCGAAATATCTCGAGTGTGCCCAGTTTGGCCTGTTCAGAGTGCTCGAATTAACTCGCGTGCGCAAGTTAAGGGGTTAAAATAAATTTAATGAATTTTCAAAATTTCAGGCGCACCTGAAAAATCATTTTTCACAAATCTCATCATTTTGCACAATATTTAGAGGGTATAGCTTTGAAGCACCCCAGCTTAACGATATTTTGATGCTATTGTTTTCAAAATGGACAACATTTTTTCAGAAACACATGTTGATTTAAATCTACAACTGTATATGTTAGCAAAATCATACAAATTAGGAAAATTGCTTATTGGTATAAAACTAGTACAGCTGAAAAAAATTATTTTATAACTTCTTTTCAGTTTAATAACGTGCTAGAGATCAATAATGTGTGAGTAAAAGTACGATTTTTACTGATTTTAACGAAGTTTTAATAAAAAAATTATTATTTCAAATTTTTTCATTTTTTTCTTCGAAATTTAGCATTTTTCTAATTTCTAAGTGTTAACTGCCATGCCAAAACTGCCATGTCGAACAGTAACATGGTGTGGGTTGGCCATTAATTTCTTAAATATAAATAACACATATAATGATGCATACCTTTTATACGTTACTGCAGATAAGGCGACTCCAGCAAGAACAATGAAAAAAGTAGCTCCCAGAAAGCAAACAAAAATAAACACAAGCGTCTGATCTGTAAAAGAATAAAGAAAAGGAACAGTTAGATAATTTGTTTTAATTTCGAATGGCACATTAAAGACAAAGGAATATCAAAAATATAGCAATAGATCTATAAATGAGAGCAAAGAGTCCATTAGTGTTTCTAGATTGCTATCTAAACAATAGAGACAAGGCCATCTTCCTGGAGTTTACACAAGGTATAAGACGGATCATTAACCGCGACATAGATATTTATTCAGAATATCGTGTCCATATATCAGTCGAAACATGGTGACAGATTTCATCTATGGTCACTGAGGAACATTAAGAATCTGTTTAAGCTAAGGTTTATCTAAATTGCGATTTTATTTTTGTTCTTCGTTGAAAGAATCCCTGAAGATATTCTTCATTAGATATTTGACATTATTAAAAGGAAGTCTGGAATTTGATCTCTGAAGGACAGAGGCCCTCTTTTTTACAAGGAAGTCGCATTTTTTTTTATTTTCAGAATGGATTGGAATCCATTGAAGAGCTACTGTCTTATTATTACTGGCAAGCCAGTTGAGGAGATTTGAGCAATACTCGACGATTAAAGTTCTAGATAGAATTCTATCGGTATAGATCGACGATTAAACCTCTAGATGAGTGCATTAATTTTTTGAGGTACGGAATTTGAATCAAATTTAGAATATAAAACTGAAATTTTTTTTAAGCATTTGACAACGTGAATTGAGGAGTTGACATTGAAAATAAATTGATTGGCCGAAATAAAATTGTGCAGAAAAAGGAGTACTTTCTCAACGTCGTTCTAGAGTTGCTCGATGAGCTATTGGTATCGGTTGCAGAAAGATCTTTCAGATTGATCCAGAGACATAGTTTTGATTCTGTGATAACTCCAATGCTTTGGTAGCCAGCCAGTTTGCACACGAAGTCAATCATTTGACGCTAGAACAGTTTGACGAGTGCCAATACCACAGTTCCCTATGTTCCCTATCTAGGCTACAAGTGGTAACCCACCTATTCAATGACAGCTGCCAGTGATGCTCGACTTCGGTGTTCTCCTTAAGATGAATTCAATGCGGAACTAAAGCTTTACAGAAGGAATAAGCGATTTTTAAAACGTTATAAGTGGGTACCAGCACCACAACCAAACAAATTTATCTAGTAGCTGCTGAAAAATTTCGAATCAGCTCGTTGCAACTCTCAAAATAAATTTCACAAGCTATGTATTTAACTCATCAAACAACATAGCATTATAAACATAGTATGTTCGGTCACATAATATAATACAAAATCGTTACGACCGGTAATTTATCTTCCCGTAAACTAGACCAAAAGCCTTACGAAAACAAACTGTGCAAGATCATTGTTTATAAAAAATGATAGCATATGCTCTAAAACATTTGTATCTTCTTTGGAAGAAGGAACATTTTCAGTTCGTTTTCTAAAAAGTAGGAGCAACGATGAATTTGTTAAGCAATAAAAAAGTAAAATATTCCAAGCAAATAACAAGTATATTAGAAATAATTTTCACATAGAAGCAGTTTCCTTCAATAAATTAGAATTATACATGATCTTCGGATTCGAGGTAAAGAGACTAAATAATTAGTTAATATATATTTATCAACCCTATGAAATCATGCAAAAAACATAGAGGCTTATAATGCTATGTATATCATATTAGTTATAACAAAACTAAAATTCTCCTCAATTTGTTTTTATTTATTATTATTTGTTGCCCTTCCGGAGACTTAAATGTCATTACAAAAATCAAAACATAGTTTGAAAAAATCATCCAATCAAAATAAATATTGACACTATTCAATATTATTCCGCATGATGCTATTGATTATCAAAATTTACCATGATTCATGAAAGCATTTTTATCATCAATAATAATAAGTCAATTTCTTCCGTTCCCTTCAAATATTTTCTCCGATAACCTATAAAGTTAATTCCTTTTTTTTTCAAAAGTTTTTCACGGAGGCATTAAAATTTTTCATACAACTATTAGGATTAGTTGTTAAAATTTCCTCTTGTAGACTCTCCAGTGCTTCATCTATCTGAAATCCTCCACACGGTTTTGAAAGAGTAGTCTCTTATCAGACAGTAACAATAAATGTCAGTTGACGAAATAGCGACTCAATAGAAAATCTAGTAAAAATAGGAAAATTGTAGCAAATGTATACCTTAAAGTATGTTGAATTAATTAAAAATAAATGTTTTTTCATATTTCCTTAATTATCACAAAAAATTAATCCATCAAATGAACAAATATATAAATTTCTTCCTGGTATTTTTTATAATTGTTTTACGATCCATGCAAAAAAGCTGGTTCAGTTTAATAGTGTGCGCAAACTACTTATAAAATACAATGTATAGGTTTTTGGATGCAGGAGTTAATTCCGATGCCCGAATTTCAGTTACGATAGCTTAAATAGTTTTGGTAGGTAGGTACTTTATTTATGGTCGCACTAGAGTTGTCAATGAGCTATTGGCGACTGTCAGGGAAACATATAATTGAAAATGATTCGAAGACATGTTCGGTGTTCTACTGGGAAGCGCGTCTTTATGATCAGTCCACTGCGGGGTCCTGCATAATTTTGGAGATTTAACTGAGAGAAAAACAGTTACAAAATGTTACACGAGAAATCTTCATTTTATTAAGATTGACTAACAATCATATTGAGTTGTTTAAAAGGAATTTGACGATGATTATCACTGAATAATTTATCAGCTAACCGATTTAACGTTGCAACGTCATTTAGAAAAAAGAACTAAATATGATTGCTTTTTTTTCATGGTAACAATGTTGGTATCTTCATAGTATCATGGTTATATATCATGGTCGAAGTCATTTTTTTAAATGATTTTGAAGACTAGTTATAGGATTTCTGTATCAATCTTCAGAAACTCACTAATAGATATACTTTTGAAATTTAATTTTCTAAGAACATAAATCTTCGCAGAGAATTTCTTAGAGGAATGATTTTTCTAAATAATTAAAAAGGTAAATAAGTGGGTATCCGAATTTTTTTTAGAAATTTCGCTACCAGTCTTATAGTTTAAGCAAGTAGCTGGTCAGCTTACTATCACCTAATACAAAATACGGTCATAACCAAATAAATTCATACCAAGCACGCCTCTGAAAATTTAAAAAAAATGCTGGAATATCCGTATAAAAACTTTTAAGTATATACGATAAGAAGGCTATTATAGATGTAAAATAATATTTAGGATTTATAAAAAACTGTTTATATCAGGGATGGCGAACCAAGGGCACGCGTGCCATTTATGGCACCCGACACAATATTTTGGGCACGCCACCGATCACATTTGTTATTACACAAATGTTATTAATGAGTTATATGTAACAATTAAATTAAATTTCAGAAAAACACACAAAATAATAAGCAATTAATAATAAAAAAATGTACAGTTACAGCTAAAAAAACAATTAATAACCATAAAAAACAAGCTACCAATAAATAACTAGCAAAAAAAATTAACTGACCTGCTTAAACTAACATCTTGCAACCTAATCTAAGTTATTTGACATCTAATCTGCAGAAGTCACACTGATGTTACTTTAAGTTGAATAACGCGTATAACTGAGACATTGCAAAATGTTTTTTTTTTTCTCAATGTATACAAAGAGTTTTGAGTTGATAGTATTTAGTATTATTATTTTCCCAAAAATCACGAAGTCAAAATTATTTGACGGCACGTCTATGACCTCATTAAACATTTTTTCAGAAAAAAAATGGCACGTTGGTGTATAAAGGTTCGCCACCCCTGGTTTATATGAATTATATAAGTTTAACAAAATGGCGACACTATACCCAATGACAGAATGTAATAAACTGTGTAGTAAGAAAAAATTGAGTTATATATTACCATAGAATATTTTGAATATTAATGAATTTAGTGTATCTATTTAACGACTTTCGACTGCTAGTTTAACAAATTTAGAATCCGATCAATTAGACGCTTATTTTTTGTATTATTTAATGAATCATTATTTCTTTTTTTAAACGAGTATTTGTACTCAGATTTTTAACAAAGTTTTATTTATAATCTTATGTTGTTAAATTAAGGAAAATATTACCCTGTAAGAGGTAATTGCCAATTAAGACAACAGGTACAGTGCACAAAGAAAAAAAAAGGACTGCCCTGTATAACTGCTAATCTAATGATTGGATCTTCACATTCTATGACTAAATTTTAATTGCTAAAGGGGGTGACCTCAGATAAGTTAATTAATAAGTGCAGGCGATATTTTAAGTTACGAAGTCAGATCCAAGAACGTGTTTTCTCTGAATACATCTTATTTCGACGGAAACGAATTTCTCACCTCACAAATATAGGGGGTAGCCGCAATCTGCGAAATATAGTCCCAATAGTTTGGTCAAGAGAGTGGCCCTAAGTTTCCACCCCTTATTGTAAACTTTACTTTCTGCGTATTTCATTATACCTCTAAAATTTTTAAACAGATCAAAAAAAATTGCAAACAATTAATAAATTTATTTACAGAAAGATAATTGCATAAAAAATATAAATTTTAAAAATATTTTATTATTTTTAATTATTTTATTTAATAATAATCAAAAAGATTTTGAATTATTTCATTATGAATTTTTTTCATCATTTTAAAGAATGTAATTTTATTTGACTAAATACAAAATTTGAGCAAAAACGGTCAAACAGAATTTCTGAGAAAATTTTTTTTTAAAAATTTATTTTTAAAATTCAATTTCTCAGGAACTATTCAACAGATTTTGCTCAAATTTTGTATTTTGTTATATAAAATTACATTCTTTAAATAAATGCAAAAAAAAATTGTGTACTTTACAATACTAAATTAATTTTTTTGATTATTATTAAAAAATTATAATACTTAATAAAAGCGAGTATATTGTAATTATTTGATCGATGTCATTAAATTGCTTACTTTTGGTTGTTGGTTCAATAATCGAAGCCATTGTCGTGGGTTTTTCATTTTTGTCATCCTTGGTGATGATCGATGTTCCAATGTTTTCGATGTCACTCGTACTAATTGCTGAAGTACTTTGAGTTGAAATCTTGTTACTGGTAACTTGCTTTGAAGTACTTGTTAATTGAAATGTGGATATCGATGGACTTGTACTGTCTTCTAAATGATAGAAAATATGATATATTTTATTAAATTTTAATAAAAATTTAACTTTTCGTTAATTTAACACGTTTTGGCACGATTTCAGTTTGATTATCGTATGTTGAAACATAGATTTTATTTTCAATTGTTTATGACTGCCGCCGGCAACTCATCGTCAATTGTATATTTGGAAAGAAAAATTATCAAATTTTCGCCAAGAAACCTGTTGACGCATGGGATAGTCATTTGCTCAACACGACATTTTTTTCTCTTCCCAAATACACAAAAAAGAGCAATAAAAAAAAATTGAAATGTTATCTGGAATGTTACATCTCTGCTTTTCATGTTATACACCATTTACCCTTCAAGCAAACGGCAAACGATCCAAGAAAACTGTAGCAATCGTATTTATACAGCAGAGATCCTAAAACTTCAACCCAAAGTATTCAAGTGGTAGCAAACTACCCAGAAAAGAAATTTGAGGTTTTTATAATTTTGCAATTATTGAATTATTAAACTGTTTTCGAAAAAAATATTCATGTATCAGATTTCTACCTATGTAATTAGATTACAAATGTTAGCGGCGAGCAAGAAAAATTTTATGATAAATTTATAAAAACAAATTATATACCAGTAAAATATAGTACCAATTTTGCAAATATACCAGCTATACTATTACCAGCAAAATATAGTACCACTTTTAAAAATTTGGTATCATTATTAGGAGGCATTTTATTCACACTAAAGGGGTTAGCTCTTTTTTTTGTTTTGTTAAGATTTGTCAAAATAAAGTGTTGTTGAATTACCACATTGTTTTACTGGTACACAAAACGTGTCGGGGTCGCCAAATCTCTTAGTATGAGTTGGGTGAAACTTTGTACAAGATACAATGCCACCCGGGAGGCGACAGGGCCTGTTCTATGGATCCGGTCGTCGATACCACGGGAGGGCGAAAACAAAACCTAGTTTTGTTTTTCCGAAGCCCAGTTTCTTAGCCAATTTTTTTCTCCTCTCGACCAAGTAACCCAAAACCCACAGTCGCAGCTCTCAATTCAACTCTTTATTAAAACCACTTAATCTACCAATAGGTATCGCAATTTCGTTCCAATTTTTATAACCTAATCACTCCAACATCCATCTTATCAATTCGTTAGTTTAATATCCAATAAAATTGTGACCATTAGTATAAGCTACTAACGTCAAATATTTACCATTAATTCATAAATATTAACAATAACTGTAAAACTATAAGTGTAATACTCATGATTTGTGAAATGGATGTCATAAAATAAAGAACATTAAATTCTAATTCCCATGATCAATGAAACTACAAAATTATGTAGTACTGTTTAAGCATTGTAACCACGAACCAAAGTAACTAAAATGTACCTAAGTCACAAAAGAATGTAACCATTGTAAAAACTCAAGTAATGCAATCTAATGTGATGTATAGTTCGTTCACCAGGAATTGGCACTTGGCTCCGCCTTCATCACGTGGTATCGGATGATACTATTTCCCTATTTTAGGGGAAAGGGTGTGAACAAGGCTGCTATTTGGCGATCGTATGACAAAAATATTTATTTCGCAATCTTCATGTGCATTTTATTTCATAAACTTGTTGATATTTCTCTCTTTTTGTTGAATAGATGGTTCTTTTTGTGATATTTTGTTGGGAAAAAGTTTTTAAATATAAATTAGCTAGAATAACGAAAGGTATAACAGCTGATGATAAAGCGAAGTAAGTGACTGAAAAAGAATTCACTATTTGTGTTCAGCCATCACCTTCTACATCAGGAAGCCTCCACACGGTTTCTTACTAGTAGTCTGCGCAGCCTATTTAAAAAGTGAACAGTTTGAGCGCATGAAACCAAGTTAAAGTTCTATTTTAAAAGTGACTGAGAGGAACTTGTCATATATATTTGAGAAATGAATCTGTAGTGGTAAACAAGTAAATAAGACAAACTAATCATATTAAAAAACTAAGCAAATTTTTAGAGAAATATTTGCTACCACTTTTTTATTTTTACTGGATTTTGGATTATAGGGCTCTTCCGTTAACTGGTTTGCCTTCATAGTGGTCTGATTGAAGTACCTATAAAAAACCGTGTGGAGGCTTTGCGCGCATTAGAGGTTATCTCGATTTCAAGCGGGGAAATGTTTTTCTTCTTACACCCCCGCGCTGAAATGAACTCTGCGTCCGAGGAGGTGGAGCCAAGTGCCAACTCCTGGTGAACGAACTATACCTAATAATATATGTCATGATGTAGTGTAACCTAACACTAACCAATCTAACTAATGTAATAACTTATAACCATATGATATGATCCTTACCTTTGCTAGAAACTTTGAATATGTAATCATTGAAATCAATTGACAATCAAATCATGTAATCACATATAATCAACCTAATGTAATAAATCATATTACAGTCCTAAGTTTATTAATCATGTCAAATGCGTAGAACTAATTGATTCAAGTTTCTTCATGTCCACACAAACTTTTCTTTAATCATCAATGTTTTATTCAGGTGATGCAAATTTCCATTTAGTATGCTTAGGTATCATATTCTCTATTTGGTTGACAATTTTTTTAATTGAAGACTAATCTTTAATAATTTATTTAACTCCTTCAATTATCATTCTTAACCTATTCATTAAATTTGTTTAATTATTAGTTTCTCTATTTATTTATTGTTTTTAATTAATTATGGAATATACATTAATTATTTTTTTAATTGCTTCACTTAACATTCTTAACTTAACTATTATCTGCTTCTTAATAAATCTGTATGCCCTGCTCTAAACCTTTCCCTTGCAGCAAGCTCATACAGAAGAGCTTAGAGGGTCTGTAGGGTTGTAGGATTGGGAACTAGGTGCACGGCACCGCATACGCTTCTTGTGGGTGACGGCAGTGTGGTTTCCGTGTCCGAGAGACCTGGGTCCTTCGGACTTCCGGATAGCTCGGGATGGTGCTGTGACCAAACCACATTGAAGAGGGGGAAAAATATAAAATCCTAATGGTTTATATTATTGTGAAGAAGTTAAGAGGGGCAGTTTTTTCAAACCCACTTTGAAAGATTTAGGTCAAAACTGTCAAAATCTCTTGTGTAAATAGAAAAATTGACGAATTGGCGTTTTAAATGTATTTCATTGATACAAAGACATTATTGTTCCGAAAATATATTGATCATAATATTAATCAAAATATATTAATCATGTAAGTAGTTATACTGAGCAGTTAGTAGTTCATTATGCAGTGAAACCTCTCGGGAGCGACCACTCTTTGTTCCACATATAAATGGTCGTTAATGGAGGTTGGTAGTTATTAGAGGTTACCTCCATTCTCTTCAAAATGTTATCGAAGGAATACGAATTTTCGCAAACGATTTCAGTTTCAATCAGTGTCATTTTCTTGGGTCGGAAATGTCAATTATGAATGTTAGAACTATTCTAAATAAGTAAACATTTTGAGGAGAGAATGAGGTTTTAATGGTGCCTCCTAAAGGTCTAAACGTTGTCCTCAACACAAAGTCTATGGAAAATATTCCGTGCCTCCTAAAACTAGTCGTAAATACTGAATACATTAAGTAGCGATGATGAGTGATCGCCAGAAGGGTGGTCTTCCTTGAAGGTTTCTCTGTATCTAAAACTATGCCCCAGCAACAGTTTTCAATAAACTTAAGCTAGAAATATAAATTATAATGCGACAGCCAGTTAACGTCTAATTGCATAGTTTTATTTTTCATATATTTGCTTTTTACTGCACAACTAGCTGTTGCAAAAACGCAACCTCAACACACAAAGAGTTTAATAGAATTTGAGCAGCGTCTACAAAACTGTAAAACTCAAGAAATAAGTAAGCAAAATAGATGTGCTATTACATGAATAACTTACTGCTAGTAGTTAGTTCTTCAAGAGAAGTTCCTTTAGTCGTGAAAGAAGGCTTTGTATTTTAATCTTCTCTGGTGAACATAGTCTTTCCAGTTTTCTCTTCGTCAATCGAACCAATAGTTGAAGTACTTTCTTTCGTAGACACAGTACTGGTAAAGAGATCCGGAGTACTTTCTGTTGCGGACAAATTACTGGTAAAGAGAATCGGAGTACTTTCCGTCGTAGACAAAGTACTGGTAAAGGGATCTGGAGTACTTGTTGTAGTAAATTCAGAAGTAGTAGTAGTAGATGGACTTGTAATAGGCTTCATATCTAAATGAGATTAAACAAACCATTAGCGAATTTTTTTCATGTAAATAAAAGGACATTTTTCTTCTTGTTGCTTATTTCTTCTTCCAGCTTGAAATCAGCTTTTTTAAAAACTGCGAATTTTCATGATAAAGACTCGATTAAAGGGACTCCATTACCTTTAAAAATATGCAAATGAAAATAAAAGTACACATGTTTAAAAATAGTAGTCCATTCTAAAGACTTGTTATAAATGAATCAAAGTATCGATATCCCTTTTTTAAAATTTTCAATTAGCTCTCAGTTAGTAACAATAAGTCGATAAATTCTCAAAATTATTGTTATCTTTTCAAAACAAAAACCAAAAAGAATAAAAAACATTTTCTCTGTACATGCAGAAATTGTATATCAAGTACAATGCCCCCAAAATCGCACTTATAAGATAATAAAGTCAAATCAAGATAAAATTATCATAATTTTTTTTTTAAATAACCCATAAGATATTCTGAGTGCGGATTATTGGGAAAAATTTTCTTAAATATTTCATGAGGGTAATAGAAATTTACAGCTTTTAATTTCACTTTTACTTTAGGAATTAAGTTGCGCAGTTTATTTTCTAGATGAATTTGCTTTAATCTAGATAAATCTAGTTAAATTTATTTTATTTTATTCAACATTTTTCAAAAAAAAAAGTTTTTAAATTTTTCCCGATCGCGACCACTTTATTTATTTAAAAGAAAGAACTATTCAAGCGGAATTTGAAACCATTAAAAAAATAACATTTGATTCATAAACATTTGCCTTTCTAATGTCGTTTGCTTTTAAAGAGCAAAGTGAAAGAAAGTTTCAAGTGACATTTTAGCAAATTGGTGCTTTAAAGTCAAAACGTTGCTCGTTCAAGTAAGGGGTAAAATAAAGATTAGCGTTCCTTTATTCCTATCGTAATAAAGGGAATAATTGACACATGCTTCCTATTTTTAAAAAAAATTACTAATCCTTTAACAATTAGTTGAGTTTTTTTTAATTTCAGGATCCTACTTTCAATGTTCTATTTGCTACAAAAGAACAGGTTTTTGAGAACAGTTATTGGATGCTTTCTGAGAAATGGGCTTGTAATATTCTTCTACTCCAAAACACTCAAAGATTGTCACTTAGGGCCATAAACTGTTGAGAAATTTGAATCCCTGTTGTTTAGTTAAATAAAATTAAAATAAAACCTTTACTCGTTGAAATATAAATTTTTTTTTTGAAAATGTCTCTAAGAATCTTCTAACACTGGGTTTTATTAATGATTCCTTAAAAAAACTAACAGCTGTTCGAGGAAATAGCCATGCTGCTATAGCAGGGATAAGTGACAGTAGCTCTATAAAAGGAAATAACATCTCTTTCCGTTGTATATGTATGAGACATTTTAAATAAAAACCGTCATCCAGATTAAAATTTCAGTTTTATTAAAATATAAAAAATTTACTTTTTTACCTGAACATCTACCATCCACGATCCTAACATCATCCACGACAACAATGGATCGAGTATAGTAAGAAAAAGTAGCAAACTCTACCTGTAAAAAATAATTTTTATCAATATCCGAGTCTATAACTAGAGATTAATAATCCACGCAGATTAATAATTCATGTTTTCAAAATGACAACCATGGATTATTAATCTCCATGCTTGTTATTTAACATAATTGGTAATGCTTATATTTATTCAGTGGGAGCTAATATTCCCATTTTGATCCATTTTTCAAAAATATAAACATTAGTGATTCTATTCCTTGTTAGATTATTAATCTTTCCTCGGATTATTGAAATTCTTTTTAATATGGTTGGTGACGATTGTGTTAACTCAGTAGGCTCTGGTGTTCCCAATTCTAGATTTTGCTCTTTTTTTAAAATAGATAAAGAATAGTAATTTCATTTGTTAACTTTTTCGATTATTTATCTCGGATTATCTAAAAAGAATAACACCTTAGAAATTATCAACGTAGTTTAAGCAATACTCCATTATTTTATTTTATCAGAAATTACTTTTTAACAAATTGCCTTTTATCGAAAAGGACCTTTTATCAAAAAGTACCTTTCAGCTACAAATTTTGGCGTAAACACTATTAACCCTTTTGAAGGCCGTGGTAAGTATACTTACCACCACGTTTTACCACTTTCAATTTAGGTTTCCATTTTTCAATAACTTCAGCTTAGGGCCGGGATAGCCTGGTCGGTAGGGCGCTGGGCCCATAACCAAGAGGTCGTGGGTTCGATCCTCGCCGGACGAAGACTCCCCGTGTAGTAAATGGTGACTGATGCACGTTAAATCTGTCGAGTCTCAAAGTCCTCCATGTTCCCACAACAAATCAATACCTCTGGGGGTACTAATCCAGGAGTTTCCTTGTCTTCTGGATTGGTTCAAAATTACAAGGCTACGGAGTTGAACTTAAGTAGTCGTAAACCCATGAAATTGGGTCGGCTGTTCAACGACGGTTATAAAATAAAAATAAAATAACTTCAGCTTTCTTGAATAAAATTGGTAACCATTTGTCACTTTTAAAAAACGTATAAAAGTTATAAAAATACATAATTCCTTTTGAAGTTTGTAGCATTTAAGGAATTTATTTTATAAATAAAGAAGAATAAAAGTCAGTAAGTTCCTAATAGGTCAGCACAACTTAAGTTTGTATTTTTTTTTTCAGATAAAGAACAATTTTTGTCTGAATTCTTAGTTTAAAATATCGCTCTCGTAACTTATAATAAGCTTATTCAAAATTAGGCTCTCGAAACAGAAAAAATAAAATCCGATTAAATCGAAATTATTTAGGATATTAGCTTTTTTTTCCGCATCGTACATTTGACCAAATTGACAATATTTATCTCTTGAATATGGGATATGTATAAGTATAAATTTACAATAACTGGCAAAGCTCTGAACAATATATATTTACAGAAAAAATTTGTTGTTACCTATTTAAAATTAATAGTATTTGGTATTTACTTGATAATCTTCAGATACGCTCATATCTACTTTAATTTCCAGCCATCGATCAACTTCAAGTCTGAAATCTTTATAATCTGTAAAAATTGAAAACAGTTATGCTATTATTAGTAATAAAATCAGTTTCAATGGTATTTTTAAAATTATTTCATACTTTATTGATTATTAAATTTATTTCATCAGAAATTTTTTAATTTATTTAAACCTGAAATAATGATATAAAATAATGACCTGAATGAAAACCTGAAAATTGTTTTAAAGTGGTAGCTTAAATTTGAAAAAAAATATGTAGATATTTTTTTTCAAATTATTGCATTTATATGTGCTAAAAATTGACTCTAATTTTTCCATGTTGTGAGTAAGCTGAATTTGGCGAGGTATCCTTATGGTAGGGCTGCCAACTTTTTATATTTTTTGTAAAAATTTATTCTAGTGTTGCCTAGGTTTATGTTTTAATATATTATTTCTTATTCATTTGAACTTATTTTTCCCCACTACATATAAATGATTTTAAAGTTCATATGCAAAGCCACATTGTTATAGTTCTATCGTGATGAGGCTTTTAAAATGCTGGCAAAGTTACCAAACTTCTGAATGCTTTGGTTTTTGAATGTCTACCACTCTATAAAATATTTAGCAAAAAGCGTTGTAGTTGGCAGATCTGTAATGGTTAATTTAGGTCTAACGAGGTTAAAAGGAAGATAAATTATACTGAGAAACATTTTTTTTCGCTACATGAGATTTTTTTAAACAAAACTTAGATACTTTTGCATCAAATCTGCAATCAGTTTCTCTTATTTACAAGCTAAATTTTTTATGTAATTCAACAATATCATCCACACCTGGAATATTGTTTTTATTGTTTACCCAAAGGTGTCATTATTTCACTAATACGGTGGGCGTAGTAACTTGATACATTTCAGTTTATGATTCTTGTTTTAAGTATTATTTTCAAAGGAGCAAACAAGTGCATAGATACAGGGGTGGGATAAAAAATATTGAGTCACTTTCGATACTAATCTATGAAAACAATCTTTCGACTAGCAATAAATGTTTTACAGAATTTCACGTGGCAAAACTGTTTGTACAATTTGAAGTATTATACTTAAAAGCTTTCAGACACGTCTCTTTTTACTATGCGGAATTCTGATTGGCAAATTTTGATAAGAACAGCAAGTTAAATCCTTGACGCAGAAATTTTTTTAAACTTATTTTTAAATTGTTTTTCATTAGTTTGCTTCAAAACAAGTAAAAACATTTTATTTAACATTTTAATAATGTATGGTTATTAATTACAGAAAGAAATCTCTCTTTTTCTATGTTGAAGGTAAAATCTTTTTTTTAAAAATGTGCACTTATTTTCAATTATTAAAATCTAAGATAAACAGCTTCTTTGAAATATACATTGATAAATTTTTGTAAATGGATAAAAAGCATTTTTTTTTTCAAATTTCTCTTTTTGGGATATTACATAATTTAGCACAAATATAATTCCGATAGTCTAACAGATTTATAGGGTGTCCGTAAAATGATTTTAAAAACATTATTTCAATAAAAAAATATACCGTTGCCGGCAGTATTATTAGGAAAGTATTTTTTTTTTAATAAAATAAGTTCAAATAGTTGCCACTAGGCAACACTGACTATTAAAATCTATTTAGCAAAATTGCAAATGTAGCCAACTTTTGCATTTTTAATATGACATAGTCTATAAACAAAATTTGCACATACATTTGACAATGTTTTTGTAGAATCTTCTTAACCTGCAAATGTATCCTCTAGCGGTACCATCTGTCGAAATTTTAAATTATTTAAACTCAATGCATTTTTCTCTAAAATGTATTGTTCTAATAATAACAATGCTGCAAATACCACATTTTTCTCTCATATCAGGTAGTATTTACAATCTACGTTCAATATGAATCAATCATTTATGGGACACCCTCTATGTTTTAACCCGTTTTGTCCCGACTTTATATGATGCAAGAAGTGGTTTTATGAAAAAGGTGGTATAATACATTATCGAAATTTATTGGTTTTTTTTTTTTTTTTTTGCTGTTAGGGCATTCAGAAAGTCTTTGATAGATCAAAAAGAACTTGCTCCTTTTAATTCTAGATCTAGTCAGAAATAACTAAATCATTGTGGTATCTGAGAATCTATTAATTCACCCAGATAAATAAAAATTCGAAAAAAGTTTCCCACCACAATGAATGTCTTTGAAAATAGGAACTGTCCTAAATATATGACGCTGGGCGTTAACCGGTTAAGAGAAAGCAGATTACAATTATTGTATTTTCTAGGTGCTTGAGATATTCGGATGTAGTTTGGCGTCGTTGTGTTGTTATTCTCAAGAAATCTGTCCCAATAAGCATACAAATGCAAGCATTTGAATGCATGCAGTTTTGGTGAGGAATATTTTGGTGTTTGCAACAAAACTTCTAGCGCTGCTTCACTGTTCTTAGGGATATCTTTTATAAACCAAACGCCACCTGAAAGAAAGTTCATAGTTATTAGCAACATCTATTTCATAGATACTAAATAAATTAAGCAACAATAAAAAATTTATTAACCCCATTCATGAGTTGGCAGCTGATACAAGTCGACCAGCGGTCCTCAACATTATTATATGATAATAAGTTAAGTACAGGGCTGCCAACTTTGGGGAAAATTTCTTTTGGTGGTAGCTAAGTAGATGATTTTATGTATCATTCCGCTTTTGTAAAGTGGATTTGCTGTTATTTTCACACCACTACAAGTAAATGATTTAAGAGTTTATCTGAGAAGCTTTTTTGTTCCTACATTCTTTTTAGTAAAGCATAAAAATATGACAAGGCAAACTTTAATAATATCTTCAGCAAACAATTATTAAATTAAGATATTACACTTTGCCCAGTGGTAGCCTTTTTCATATTGGAAGGTTACTATATTACTATCTTCAGGGAATCTATTACTATCTTCAGGGTATATTACTATCTTCAGGGAATAGAACCGGAGGTGAACCGGGCTCAAATCTCAGCGATGGCAGGTCGATACGAATTCACATGTATGCATTTTTCTTTTGATCGCCATGTTAGATTCGTAAATAGGCACATGTACAAGTTCGTATTTCGTGTATGTAAAATCTATATAACTTTTAAACTATTAGCCTGATAATCTCATAAATGGTTTCGTTCAATTTAGAGTACGAAATGCATCGGAAACAATGCCTGTTTAGAAAAAAATTCAATCTTCCCTCTCAGATCACTACCTTTTCCCTCTAAAAAGAGAGAAGGGTATAAAAGATAGTACGTGACAGGGTTCATACGCAAATGGAAAAAAATTAATAACATTAATATATATTTTTTATATTATTATGATTGTAGCTACTGGTATGTTTTATTTTCTCTAAGTAAACTTTTCTTTCAAACTTTTCTGACAAATCTCGATTAGTTTTATTTCATACGTACAAGTTCTCTCTGTTTGTTTTACGTTTGGGTTACATTTTCAATTTCTTCTGGGTCTGCGGTCTTATTCCTCTGTCCTGAGAACTATAACAACCTTTAAGGACAGGAAGAAACACAATCTTGCCATATAATTTTTTGGGTTAATTTGAGTAAAAGCATA